GCAATAGTTTATGCGAGTGTTAGATTGGGAACCCCACAATTCTTACCTGACAATATCTTGGCTTGACATTGGATAGTGACTGTGTAACCGTTGTGAACTCCAACATAGTCAGGCGAATATGCTAGAATTTAGTCCTGTTGGTACCCTGGTTTAGAATAATTGACTAAATCCAACTTGAAAGCATTATGTTTGTCATTAAGGGCTCCAAGACACTACCTCCCGTGACGGCTGCTGTACAAATGCAAGTTGTTGTTGTAATACCTGGCCATGTCTTATATAATAATAAGCCCATTGAAATGATTTGTTTGTGTCAGATATGTGCTACCAATACCAATGCAAAGATTATCATTATAGGATAGCCAAATTAAGACTTACAAGTTTCTGAGCTAAACCTAATCTTTCCATTAGTATAGCGCCTGTTGTTGAAGGCTTTCTCAGGATGCACTGAACAGTCTAGTGCCTGTGAGTTTTATGGGCAGACACAGCAGTGTCCCTCAAACAGCCATGGAATGAGTGAGCAATTTTATTTGAGAGATTGTTAACCAGGATACCGGGATAGAGAAACCCCCTCTTTTTTTCAAATAGGGCCATGGCCATGTCCACCTGGAGAGGAAGATGGGACCTTGGTTTTAAGTCTCATCCAAAGATTGGCACCTCTGACAATGCCGCACCCCCCCCAGCACTGCAATGGAGTATCAGCATGGAGTATCAGTATGTAGGTTGCAAGTTCCCTTGAACTCACAATTTATGACACAACTGAGCTGGGCTGACAAGTCCATTATTTATTTAAAAAATGGTAATTTCTGTGCTCATAAAAGTGAGGGATGAAAAATGGACATATTTGCATTTCAGGCATCCAGCGTCAATAACTAGGTCTCTCAGTGTGTGTTAGCTTCAGGATGGCACCATTTTCCGCATCAATCCAATGCTTTGTGTTTTCCACACCAGCCCTGCACTGTCTCTGGAGTGAGATTGCCATTTTAATGATGAATTGAGGAATCAATCAATTTCTGTGAGCTCACGTCTCCCAGGAAATAATTCTTTTAATAATTTGCTCCCACTTCTGAAGGCACTGACTCTTGTTGGAGTGGGTGGGGTGGGCTACATACAATTTCTCATGGCTGTTCAAGTCAGTTAATTTATCTGATGCAGTAAGTGCAGAGGGAGCTTTTGCTATATCTGATTGCGAGAGAGCTGGATGAGCACAAAAGTCACTAAAAATTAATTAATTAAAAAAAAGGATCTTTGACTGATCCTGAACTCACAAAAACACTGAGCTTTTTCTGTTACTGCCTGTGGAGTTACAGGAGACAATCTCTCAGCCTCGCTCGGTGTGTTGGCTCAAACTAATGAGACCTAACAGACCTTAGATGTATTACAGGAGAAACATGAAAGTTGCCTGACAATTGATATATAGACACAGTCGGCCAGCCAGCAGCGAGGTATTTAAATCTGTTACCTTGCACATGAAGTCGGGTTGAGCTGCTGAGGCCTGGTTAGAGCTATTTATAATGTACTACGTTATAGCTATAAACCAGGCCAGCTAAGAAAACAGCTCAATCCCAAAACGTTACTGCCCTGACCATGGCTATTTCACTCAATAAAACACTTATCTGTTAACACTGTTCACCAGAGCAAAATGAACATTCAAATTAAAAATGATACAAGATAGTCTGATGTGTCAATTCAGTTTGTTTGTTGCACAGATTATTACTATTGCGTGAATTAAGTTCAGTTCAGTGTTTTACAATCTAAGCAATGTGAAATGAATCCAATGAACCTATTGGATCTATACAATGCTTTGAAGATCTTTATAAATGTTCCCATTAGATGGGTGGTGGTGGGGAGGAGGGGCATCTGGGCGATGGAGGAAGGACAAGGGAAGTGGGTTGACCTATCCATCACTTTTACGTATCTATCTTCTCTTACTCCTCTCCTGTAGAAGCTTTTTTACTTGTACTCAGATACTCTTCCACTGACACTACTGCTACCTCACCCAGTGACCATTATTCGTTTGGAAGCTAAACGGTTACATTTGGTAGGTTAGTGAAACACAGGAGGACATCACAGCTGAACTCAATCCTGCCCTCACTTGGCTGATTTTCCTCTCCCAAACCCAGGGCACTAAGGCCAATTGCAGCCCCAAATCCTGTATATACAGTATTGACTGTAAAGTGCTTTGAAAGTCCTCCTGATGTGAAAGGTGCTGTATGAAATGTAAGGATTGTTATTAATTATATTTGACCTTTTATGTGTGACTGCCTGGCTCAGGGGTAGCCTCTCGCCCGAGTAGGATTGTGGGTTCAAGCCCCAGATTGAATTACATAGTCTAAGATGACGCTCTAATGCAGTGCTGGGGTTGTGCTTCATTGTCGGAGGCGTTTCAGGTAACACGTTAAACCCAGGTTCTGTCTGCCTGTTCCGGTGGATGTTAAAGATCCCATGGCATTAATCAAAAAGAGAAGTTTCGCCCCATGTCCCGGCCAATAATCCCCTAAATAAAATTGTTCATTCACTCCATGGTTGTTTGTGAGACACTGCTGTGTGCAAACTGGCTGCAGCATTTTATCCACAAAATACAAAGTCAATCCACGTTGCAGTATAAGACGTGAAGTGCTTTAAGACGACTCGAAGATGTGATAAGGCGCTATATCAAATGCAAGGATTATTATTATACAACAATAAAATTACATTTGTATAGCGCCTTTCACATTGGGAGGACGTCCCAAGGCGCTGGACAATCAGTGTTTCCGGTTGGCCATGGACTAGTTGGACTGAATAATCTGTTTCTGTGGTGCTTCACTATATGTATCTCTATGTAAGTGCTTTACAAAGGTGATCACTGAGCAAGGAGCGGGGGGAGCTTGAGATTGTGTTCTGAAGGTCCAATCAGAGATAGGTTTTTAAAGTATTTGGAAGGCAAGGAGAGACGGTGAAGGGATTTGGGAATAACATTCCAGGTTTCGAATGTTAGAGTTAGAGCTTGAGTTAAAGTCGAGTAGTTTAGTGGCTGAAAGACTAATGGTCCAACAGGGAGTGAGGAACAAGCAGTTTTTAATCAACTTTTCTCTGCCCCAGCTTGGAGTCCCAGTCAGCTGTTTGAGGCACTTTGAGACGTCCTCCTGACGTGAAAGGTACCATATAAATGTCTATTGTTATCGTGGTTGTGGAAGTTCAGCTCAAACTGCAGATTCCATCTGTTCTCCAGCATCTCTGGACAGTGAGCTGCAATGTCCCTTAATAGTTATTGTGAGCTAGAGGTGCCCAACCTTTCTCCCTGACATCTCTGAGCTCGCGACACCTCCCCTCCCCTCCTGAGCTCATTGTCCTCTTTACTGTTAGCGAGCCCTTGGAACGAATGAGTTTGCAAGCCTCATCTCCATCTTTAATTTAGTTTCCAGCGACTTCAATTAAGGGTAACTCTGCCAGTGAATTAACGCTACATAAACCTGCCTATTGGATGGGTTTCCGAGCCAGGCCTTTTTGAGCAACTACTTGTGCGGAGAAAACGTGCCTAGCATGCAGTGGATCAGCAAAACTAAGGAATATGGGAAAGAAGGGGCTTTAACCAAAAGATGCATGCGGTTGTCGGAGGTTGACCCCAAGGCATTCCTATATAAGTACTGAATATAGATATATAACAAAACCTCGCTGAGAATTCTTGGAAGTTGAGCTGAAGGGCTGATAGCTGAGTAGCTCTTTTCTTCAGAACGAGCGGCAAGCTGTGGTTTTCCTGAACTCTGGGCAAACCGTTCTTTGATCTATTGGCTGAATTACGTCACTGGTCCAAGACAACATGTGGGTGTGAGTTACAGCCCAGCTCCCTGGATGGCTGGCTGGCTGGTTGCGTGGGCGGGTGGGTGGGTTGCATTCGGCGAGGCAAACAAATCGTTGTGTTAAAAACAGGTCGGGATATAACATACAGGTGACCCAGCACATCCAATTGTCAGTAACCGTTCCCTGGCACTGTTGACAAGCAAAATAGAACAGTATCTCCGACTAAATTGACATTGTGATCTTGCAGACAGCTTGGCCCTTGAGTCCAGAACACAATGTCAATTTAGTCGAAGTGATTAATAATGTCTCAATTATACAGCAGGTTTTTTGGTCAGTTGCTTCCACATCAGTGTCCAACTCTTACGAGGCTGCGTCCACTTTGAGTAGGAGTTGCCTCCATCTCAAGTAACAGGAGTAGTCAACCACGGCCCAAACTCTTGCCTCATCTTAGCCTGCGAGACTATTCGGTCTTAAAGTTTGAGTTAGGGCAGGACGGTGGCAAATTCCTTGATTCAGTCTTAATTTGGAAGCCGGGTCTTTTGAAGAACTACTGGAGAAAACTGGTTTCCAAAATTAAGTCTCAATTGAAGAGCTCTCCACGATTCTGGGCGATTTTAAATGTTAAGCCCAAATGGTCTCATATCTTTAAGATGAGGTGGACCTTTAGCCCACAAGAGCAGAGGGTTTCCTTTCCAAGAGAGATAAGTAGTCGGTACGTTGAAAGCATCTCCAATCAATGTGGGAGGCATGTCCTGAATTTTTAGCAATGAAATAGATAGAGAGCTTTGTACTGATTGCCTCTCCCTCCCCCACCCCCTCCAACAGCGTTCCTCCTCCTTTGAAGTCAGCAGAAGGAGACACCCCATTTTTACCCCATTCACTTACCCCATTTTTAAAAGTACAACATGTCCATCATCACTTCACCATCCAGAGAACACTTACAATGATTCCATAACTTCCAACAGGTGCAGCGAGTGCAGTTCTGGACATCACAAATTATGAGGGCTGCCTATGCCTTACAGAGGCAGTGCAGAGGTGAGCAACAGTGCTGATCCTCAGTGTTATGAGATGTGTTATTTAGGACGAGTATTTCTTTGCACTGAAGGAACAGCTGGAATAGATTACTGGGAAGCACAGTTGAGGCCAGAACACTGGGACTCATTTAAGAAACAGCTGATGCTGCAATGGGAAGGTGGCAGGGTGGACATTTTGGATGGATGAGATCAAATGGGCCAAAGGACCTTCTCTATTCAAACCTCTCTTGTGGTCATTGCTACCAGGCTGAACAGTGCCAGCCCAGCCTTCACATGACCTCAAAGAATGATTGGGTGGCTTTGAAGGACTAAATGGTTGCTTGTTGGGTTTATTCGGGGTCAGGTCTGGAGCCCAGAAGTTCAACAACACACAGTTGCTTCAAATAAAGTAGAAATGTAAAAGGTGGCAGCTACAATTTTGCATCTTCTTGCTCTGGAGCTATCAGACTCCCATTGCTTAATATGCTTCAGTCCTCCACAGCAATGTGCATAAGATAGTCAACAAACACATCCCTAAATAGAGTAGTTTCAAAATATGCAAGTGCTCCTGCGCTGGGGGAGAGAGGTGGCTGTACAATTTGTCAGCAGCCTCTCACACGACACCTCTCCCAGGCAACACACCCGGGACATCACTTTCCTCCCACAGTGCACCAGGCAGCTAGGAGAAACAGAGAGAGAGGGGGGGGTAGATGTGTAAGGAACAGCAACAACGACAACAAGATTGCAAGGAAGGGCTTTATCACTAATCTCACAAAACAGTCACTACACTTTACAGGATATTCTGTGAAGCGCTTTCAGACATCTCAAAAGCGTGTTAAAGCACTATATCAAACGTAAGGATTTTTTATTATTATTATTTATTACGTTTTCCCTCGCCATGTTAGGCCCAGAATTCCATCTAGTCTCAGCCTGTAACTCCATTTTGTCTTAAAACTCGAAATAACACTGGATTAATTGTGGAAATATTTTAAATTCAGTCTTAATTTGGAAGCCCTTTTCTTAAGAACTGGGGAAAAAGCTGTGGAATTTCTAACCTATTGTGGAACTGGGTTTGGGCTCCATATAAAGGATTAGGGTTACCCCTAACCCTAGCACCACTGATCCTTCACACCTGTCTGAACATTTGCTCTCTGTTGTCACTGTCGGTTATCCACTGATCAAGCTCTCTCTCTCTCTTCTCCCCCACCATTCTCTCTCTCTCTCTTTCTCTCTGGAGTGAGGTCCTTTCATTCTGCCCCCATTTGTTGCTCATTGCTGTGAAACCAGACTTTCTGTCCCTACCGCTGGCCTGGAGTCAGCGGGAGGGCTCGAAGAGAGAGAGAGAGAGAAAGGGCGGAAAATAGCAGTCTTAAAACAGCCTCATTAAGCTCCCAGCTTCATTTATCTACTTGTTCCCATTTTCCTACTCTTGACATATCCCCATTGAGGGAATCTCAACACAATGCCCTATGACCTTACCTGGTATACAGAGAGTGGAGATGATCTCAGGCTCAGTCAGGGTGTCCACCTTGACGTGCTGAAACCCTTTACAGCAAACACTTTGCAGATGGCTGCAGGATGGAAAATGGAGATCAATGAATTTGTACCTTGAGGGTCTTCTGGGATGGCACTTTGGGACGTCCTTCTCAAGCACTTAGGGAAGTGTAAACTGTATTGTAATGCATAGCATCCAATAGTTAGTTGCCAAAGGCACTGCCCAGTGTTGTTGAGCCAAACATACCCTAAGTAGCTCAGATTCGATGCCTAGTGTTTGACAGTGAAAGGGAAAGAGGTCAGGGCTTCTGCTGTTGATCATAGTAAGGTAACACTTATACTTGTGGAAGTTTATAGCTGAGATATTGTTAATTCTGTGGTACACCTGGGATTCACTGCAAACAATAAGTGGGGACCACAATAGGAAGACATGTCCTATAGATACAGGGAAGTGTCTTGACATGATATGGCTGAAATAAGGACTTCACCTTATGGGGAATTATGGGTATCGTCTCTCACTGCTCCTCGGAGTGGCCTCTTGACTAGCGACACACCAGTCAGGAACATGGCTCTCAATAATGGGAGTGAGTAGCGCTCTAGAACTTTTGGAAACCCATCAGGTATGAACCGAGCCCCGAGAATAGCCTCATGTAAAGGGTGTTGTGTCTCAGTTACCTTTTCCACTCCTCCTCGCTCTCCCAGAACTGATATACGACAAAGGTGGCTCCATCAGGCAACCTGACTGCAGTTACACTAGAGGGGAGAAGAGAGAAGAGAAAGAACAAATTAGTACAGTTACCACAGAGGGAAGGTACTGGACACAGGCAGTACCTGTTGGATAGGTTTATTTAACTGTTACTTGGTAGATAGGGGATTGCTTCTACCTCAATTTCAGCCTGGCTCAGCACGCTCGCCTTTGAGGCAAAAGATTGTGGGTTCAAGCCCCACATTGGGACTTTGAGCTCACAATCTCTCCAGTGCAGTGCTGGGGTTGTGCTGCTCTGTCAGAGGTACCGTTCTTCTAACGAGACGTCAAACTGAGTCCCCATCTGCCTGTTCCAGTGGGCATTACAGAATTCCATGGCGCTATTCGAAAAGAGATGCAAGTTTTTCCCGATGTCCTGGCCAACAGTCCCCCAGATGTCCTTGGTTATTCACTTTGTGGACCACGGAACCATTTCATTTGAAATGCTTCTGCCAGTTATGTACACACATCTAGTTTTAGTATTTAGCCCCTCTGTGTCTGGTTACCTGGTCTCTCTGGAGTTTACTGAGATCTCTTCTATTGATTTAGATATTTCCCCTCTATTTCGTCTATTCAATTTCCCCTTTACTCTCAAATTCAACCTTTCCCATATTCTGATCATCAACCAGGCTCATCCTTATCTCCTGAAGCATTAGGAGCTCAAAGTCCCAATGTGAGACTTGAACCCACAACCTTCTGACTCAAAGCCTGAACCAGGCTGACACCCAGTTAAAAGCCGTTTCCCCATCTACCAAGTAACTGTTAAATAAACCTATTCAACAGGTACTGCTTGTGTTCCCGCCCCCTTCTTACATAATCCTTACATGACAGGCAGACAACAGAGGTTATTTGGGACAAAAAAGGGCTCAGTAAGTTACTCACTGGAAGCAATGTCTCAAATCAGAGACTGTCTTCAAATATTCCCTCAGTCGGTCACAGAATTGCCCCAGCTCCTTGTGGGACACTCTCATCTGCTGCCGCACCAGGAACAGATGCTGTGGAAACAGAAGAAACAGTAAAAAGAGACACCGAGCAGTGCTGGGGGATGAGGAACTGAGCATGGGGATGGTGGGGAATACAGCTAGGAGCTAGGAAGAGGATGGAGCTGGGAGGACGATAGGGCTGGGAGGAGCTGGGAGGAGGATGGAGTTGAGAGAAGGATGGAGTTGAGAGAAGGATGGAGCTGGGAGTTGGCAGATAGAAGAATTAAGATGAATAAAACTGAAACAAAAAGTAAAACAGAAAGAAAAACAGCATGCAACAATGGAGCCATAAAAAGCAAAGAGGAGTTTGAGTACAGCAGGGAGGAAGCAGAATGTGACTATAGAAGACGGAGGTGACACGGGCACGGAGAGAAAACGATGAAAAGAAGCAGCATGAAAGGTAAGAGAAAGTGATTTCACAGCTGCTGAAAGAAAAATGTGACAGGTATTTAGATTTATGAAGACAAGTGTGTCCTGCGGTATGAGCAGAGCTTGTTAGCTGTTATATCCTTCCACATCACCAACCCAAATGTATGAAAAATGTGTTGAATGGAAATTTAATTGGGAGTACGGGTCAGGCTGAGGTGGATGTGCGTCTGTGCCCTAAAGGGTTGGTTCACCTGCCAATTTCCAACCAAACCTCAGCTAAGATCCACATATATATTATTTTCAGATTACGATTCATCAACATCAGGGTAATGGATAGAAGAGAAATTACCCTGAACTTCTGTGGCTTCACCTTAAACAACTGCCAATAATATTACTGAGAGAAACTGAGCCGGGGTAAGCTGAGCACACAGCAGGTCTGTGGCAAAGGCAAAGCATAATTAAAGAGCTTCTCTGTCGGCAGATCTGGAAATGTCACTTCATCGAAAGAGATCAGCCGCAAAATTGAGGCCGGGCAGTCTTTATTAAAAAAAGTAATAAGTCTGGTTATGTCAGGTGACTTGGGAAGGGTGTGATGTACTTTGTGACAAGCCACTAAGATGCCACATGATGAAATAATAATAAGCCTTGCATTTGATATAGCGCCGTATCATGCCGTTGAGACGTCTCAAGATACTTCACAGGATCCACTATAAAGTGTAGTGACTGCGAAACGTAGATCATTTCTACACCTGCAGCCATGGGGAGAGCTACACCACAGGAACAGGAGGAGGCCATTCAGTCCATCGAACCTGTCCCATTATTTTCACCCACACAATATACAGTCAATTCACTTTAAGAGTATATCCTGTGAAACGCTTTGAGACATCTAGAGAACATGATAAGGTAAAGATTATTATTATTATTTTCCAGGATAATGGCCAATCCAAAACTCAACTCCACATCCTCGCCCTCTCTTCATATCCCTGATAGTCTGTCTATCAAGTATTTATCTATTTGCCTTTTAAATTTTCGATTGAATCTGCCCCCCTTGCCCTCTGTGGGAGTGATTCCACACTCCCACCACATACAAAAAATGAGTTCCATAGAAAAAATGCCCTTATTTCACTTGTTTTCGGCTCACTTTCACCATCCGAGGTGAAACACATGTCCAAAAATCACTTCGATGGAAAGCAGTTCAGTGTGAGCCTGTCCTCATACCGTAGAGTCTAAGCCCCACAATCATCCTCAAAGCTCTTAAACTTCTACAACATTTCAGCATTCTTTTGAACAGTCTAATTGCAATATTTTTTAATGCGATTCCTCAATAAAAAATACCAATAGAATTCCCATCTAAGCTCTGATCTACACTTCTCACCCACCACTGTAACACTCTCTGACACACACCATACTCCTAAATGATATAATAATAATAATTCTTGCATTTGATATAGCCTTAACATGTCTTTGAGACGTCTCAAAGTGCTTCACAGAATATACCGTAAAGTGAATTGACTGTATATTGTGTGGCCGAAACGCATGATGAACTCCTCACTGTAACACGTTGCCTAGCCACAGAACATGATTTAATCTGAGAGTAATCTGACTACTCACACAATGAAGGAGTGAGGACACAGTCAGCGTGTAACCCGTCTCATTACTACTGCTGCTGGAACAGCAATCTATAAAAAGCTACTTCTAATCAAACAGCTTCTTTCTAAATAAGCAGATCACCTCTGAGAAGGCAGCACATTGCACCTGCCAACACCAATCACTGTATCAATATTTCAGCTTTCAGAATTGCTTGCACGGTAGCTCTTCTCATTCAATGATCTGCCAGTGTTTGGTGAAGAGACACCTTGTTAGAAAAACAATGTAGAAATTGATTGCTCCAACTCCCAGCAGCATTAATATTCCAAAGTAATTGTCCTTGGGTTCTTTTCAGCCTCTCCCCAGCTGTGGAGACGTGCTTTTTGTTCAAACTTTCTACACACTTGCTGACTGCCACCCAGAGCTTCTTAGGTTCAGGAATGGAGGTGGAGTACAGAAACCCAGAAAGTCCCTTGTTTCAGAGGCCATCAAGGATGAATGGAGAGAAGGATATTACCCTGTAATAAATCCCATTACCGTTATAAATCACATCACCAAGGTCGGTAACTCAGAATCATCCTGAAACAAGATGACGCGAGGGAAGTTATCAGGGAGCAAAGTTTCACTTATTAAAACGTAAAACAATTAGGGCTTTTTTTTTACACAAGCGCTCGGGGGATTAAGAGGTCCAATAGAGATCTCCAAGGATTTTGTGTGAGAAAGCTTTCCCTAATATAATTTCTAACAATCCTATCTCTAATTTTAAGAATATATCTTGTTTTGGATCCATCTACAAGAGGTAAGAGTCATCCATGTAGAATTACATAATTGTTACAGCATGGAAACAGGCCATTCAGCCCAACTAGTCTGTGACTGTGCTTGCAGTCTTTGTGTTCCACACATGCCCCACCCAAGTCCCTTCATCCCAAGTCCCCTATAGAACTTCCTCATTTAACTTATATTCCAACCCCCTATTTTTACATGCATCACGTCATAATTTGGCTATACTGAACTCCATTTGACATTCTTCTGCCCACTCACCAAATGTAAAATTCTTGTAGAATCTGTAAAATCTGTGTGCTTGTAAAATTCTGCATTCTTTACAATTCACCGAACATCCAGGTTTATTGTCTGTGAACTTGGATATACTCCCCTCTATACCTAAGTCAATATTGTTGAAACATGTAGTGATCGGCTGTGGACTGGCACCAATCCCTGGGGAACACCACTTGTCACAGCCAGTCAGGCCAAAGCCATTTCCTTCATACCCTCTGACCCTTAAGCCGTCTAAGATTTCCGTTACCTTAGCCTGATTATTGCCCAAAGCTACAAAGGATTGTGAAGTATTAGATACTAAGAGAGATGTGAATATTTTGTTTTTGCCCAGCAGGTGTCTGATAAACCCATCACACTTAAGAGTATCCAAACCAAGCTGAGATTTCAATGAATCCCACCTACACATGGAAATCCCAGAGACAGATTGTTGGAATGTGAACATAAATAAAAATGGAACATAATTAAATGAATGTTTTAAAAACTAATTTCCTGCCAGATAAACAGAAAAGGAATTGTTGTAGTGGTGGAGAGTATCGGTAGTGAATGGTGCGTTACTGAGAAAGTAGCAATAGGTGATTACCTATCGGCAGCTGCTTGTTATCTCTGGTTTCTACTGCAAAAACAATGAAAACAGTACAGTAATGTAGAAAGAAAGTTCATAAGATTGGTCTGGGTGAAGAAGGCCCTTCAACCTATTCAATCTCATCCTTCTAGAATCCTCACCCTACCCCGACATTGCATCTCAAGATGTTTTTTACATCAGTCCGGTCTCCTGGCCTCTACCACTCTTCCAGGCAACCTGTTCCAATCGTTAATTACCCTCTGGGTAAAGAAATACTTCCTGGGGCTATTGCTGAAATTGCCCTTGACAACTCTACATCTGTGTCCACTTGTGCTACTGCCACGTCATCTCCTCCAACCTTCACTGTGAGGAGATGCTGGATTTCCTTGAATCCCAAATCAAGGGAATCCGCTCCGTGGTCACTTCCTCTCCAACCTCCACCCACCCCCCACCCTCTCCCTCCCACACTCCGACTCCTACCCATCCTCCCCTACACACTTTCGTACCCGTTTCCCCACCCTCTGTCACCAAACTCATCCTATCCCTGAAACCCACCACCTGCTCCCTTGACCCCATCCCCACTCCACTCCTTATCTCCCAGCTCCACCTCCTTGCCCACATATCACAGACATCGTCAACCTGTCCCTCTCCTCTGGTTCTGTTCCCATTCCCTTAAAAACTGCCACCATCACGCCCACCCTGAAAAAACCCTCCCTTGATGCGTCGCAGCTATCAATCTCCGGCCCATCTCCAACCTCCCCTTCCTGTCCAAGGTCCTGGAATGAGTTGTGGCCTCCCAGCTGCGCTCTTTCCTCTCCACCATTCATTATTCGAGCCCCTCCAGTCGGGTTTCCGTGCTGCCCATAGCACAGAAACTGCCCTGGTCAAGGTCACCAATGACATCCTGACCATCTGCGACCAGGGCTCCCTCTGCCTCCTCGTCCTCCTCGACCTATCGGCAGCATTCGATACGGTCGACCATGCTATCCTCCTCCACCGCTTGTCCTCCCACCTCAACCTTCAAGGCCCTGTCCTTGAGTGGTTTAGGTTGTACCTCTCCCACCATCTTCACTTTGTCTCCACGAACGGCTTTTCCTCCACCCCCCGCACTGTCTCGTGCGGTGTCCCTCAGGGCTCTGTCCTCGGTCCCCTCCTCTTCACCCTCTATATGCTCCCCCTGTGGTGACATCATCCGCAGACATGGGGTTAACTTCCACATGTATGCGGATGACACCCAACTCTACCTTTCCTCCTCTACCCTCAACTCCACGACCCCCGATGTCCTGACAGCTGTCTGTCCGACATCGAGTCCTGGACGAGAGACAACTTTCTTCAGCTCAACATGCGGAAAACTGAGGCCCTCCTGATTGGCTCATGTCAGCGCCTCCGCACCTCAGGCGCTGACAGCATCAGCATCCAAGGCCGCACTCTCCACCTCTCAAAGCCATCAGGAACCTCGGCGTTCTGTTCGACCCTGAGCTGTCCTTTCTCCCTCATATCTGCGCCACAACTGGCACCGCCTTCCACCAACTCCGGAACATCGCCAGACTACGGCACTACCTCACCCCTCACGCGGCTGAAACTCTGGTCCACGCCTTTATCACCTCAAGGCTGGATTATGGGAACTCTGCAGCTCGTGTACTGTCCCGCACCAGACACCGCGCCCACATCACTCCCACCCTCGCCCTCGCTCGCCTCCACTGGCTCCCCATCCCCCAGAGGATCGAATTCAAGATCCTCATCCTCACCTACAAGGCCATTCATGGCCTCGCTCCCTCCTACCTCTCCGACCTACTATCCCCCTACTTACCTGCCCGTACCCTCCGTTCCTCTGGCTCCTGTCTGCTCCACATCCCCCGCCCCAACCGCCCTACCATCGGTGGCCGGGCCTTCAGCCTCTCAGCCCCGTGGCTCTGGAACTCCATCCCCCAGTGCCTTTGCCGCTTCCTCCCTTTCTTCCTTCAAGGCCGGTCTCAAGACCTTTCTCTTTGACCTTCAGCCTTCAGCTCCCCTCTCGACTCTCTACCCCCTCCTCGCTCCCTCCCTTCCTTCCCCTCACCCTGACCATTTCCCCCCAATGCTCGGGTCCTGACCCAACTGTACAGCGCCTTGGGACGTCCTCCCGACGTGAAAGGCGCTCTATAAATGGAATCTTGTTGTTGTTGTCTTATTGCATTCTTAAGTAACAATCTGGGTTTACTTTCTCAATCCCATTTAAAATGTTCCACACCTCTGTGAGGTCCCTTCTGAATTGTTTTCTCTCAATACTGAAGATCCTGAGCTTGTCTGATCGTTGCTCACAGCTCATTCCTCTAACTCTGGGATCAGCCTGGTTGCTCTCCTCTGCACTGTCTCTGGGACCTGTGGTGGCCCATTATATCTCAGTGACCAGAACTAGATGCGGTAAGGTTGTATTTTTGTAGCATCTTATCACATCAAAACAAACGCTGAGAGTTTTACAATAGTCACGGTCAAGCTATTGTAGGCAGTTATGTTTACACGGCAAACTCCTGCAAACAGGAGGGAATGAACTTTTTTTCTCTCTGGTGGAATTGTTAGCCAGCACACCAGGAGAAACTCGCTTCACTTTTCAAATAATGTTGCAGAAACGCAGTCACCCAACAGCTTGGACTTGACAAACAGCTGCTCCGAATCAGATGAATTGCTCATGGCTATGCACGCACACACCTAACCCCATTAATAAGCATGCTGTCTAAAATCAGCCCTACACACTCGCCGTCCTGTCACCTCATTACTTACGGGACTGAAAGTAGGCGAGTGTGTACATTTGTTGAGACGTGTGGCCTGAGATTTACAGCACTCTGTCGCCAGCCCAATGAAACGGGGCTTCACTGGGTATGAACCCCCCCACCCCCGGCCACTGTAAAGCACTTTGAGTTGTTTAGACAACTTACTTCAAAACACAACTCTTTCTACATTACTGTCCATATTTTCCTTACTGCAACCGTCAAAAAATTGCATTTACACAGGGTCCTTATCATAATAATCCTTGCATTTGATAGAGCACCTTATCATGTCTTCAAGATGTCTCAAAGCGCTTCACAGAATATACTGTAAAATGAATTGACTATATATTTGTGGGCGAAACACGGCAGCCAATTGCGCACAACAGCGTCCCACAAATAGTCGTGGATTGAGTGATCAAATTATTAGTGTGTTTTTTTGAAGGATTATTACCCCCATAAAAGCAATCTGCCACTCGACTAACAACCGGGTTCCTACTTACTGCTGGGTAAATAGAGGTGTGTGGAGTAAGGAAACTTGGCCAGTGTTTCACCCTGCCCGGGGATCAAACCTCTCGCTTGCGAGGCGAGTGGTCTAACCACCGAGCTACAGGACTCCACATGGGCGGGCAGTGTCTCGGAGGACCTAACAGTGGTGTGGTTTGGAAAGAGAAGTGATTGAATGCACGGTTAAATAGGAAAGTTTTTAAGCGTGATTTGTAGACAGGCAAAGAGAGGTAAGATGGAGGGTTACTGCAGGATAAAGTCGAGTGATAACTAACACAGCTTGGCAGATAGTTAACCATGGGTTGTTCCTTTCACATTGAGAGAACGTTTGCTGCTGAGCACACACACAGCATGGTATATTGTGAGCACACACAATACACTAAACCGTAAGCACACACACAGCTGGCATTACTCACAGAACAGTTCATGTTGTCGTTCTCTGAGATCCTCTGGTGCAGGTCAAACCACACGCTCTGAAACACCAACAATACCAGACATCAGCACAGATAGCAGAGAGGCACTGATGTATACATATGCGCACACACACACACACAGCACTGTCCGGTGTACACCCACCCCAGCACTGACTGATACACACACAAATAGGTACACATATATTCACAAGGATTATACCAGAGGAGAGGATATAGTAAGAGAGAGGTTTGGACAATGTTTCTTTTGGAGCAATGACGACCAAAATCAGATGTTTAGGACAGGGGAGGGGTTTGAGGGGATGAATGTTGAGGTACTTTTTGCTGGTAAGTGATTGGAGAACAAGAGGGTTTGGATTCAAGATAATAACAAGCAGCGCAAAGATTGTTTATCTCAGAGAGAAATCAGACTGTGGAACGAATTGTTAGGGGTGGCTGTTGGAGCAGAGTCGAGTGGTGTCAATTAAGTGGTCTGAGACGCATTTCATATAGTGAAGGGCACTATATAAATGCAAGTTGTTGTTGTATTTAAAAGGGAATTATATCAGAGCAGAAAGGTATTAGAGTAAATGGGGATTGAGTAGGATATTGGGATGAGCATAGATACTAATAATAGATGTCTTTATTGTAGGAGTGAATATGCAATGGGTTCAATGGCCTGCTTTGTGGGAGTCAAATTGGTCATCAGGTTGGGATTGCTCTCTGGGCAGCAGCATACATTAGGAAAGGCTCCTTGAGAGAGAGATCAGCCCTGAAAAGTCATCACCGCAAAGGAGCCAGAATCTCATATACACCAGTAGATAATAAAACACATTGTACAATCCAGGAGAAAGGCTACCTCAGCAAAACCATCAGCACTGTCCTGGGCTGTGATTTACTGACGATGAGAGCCACTCCTCAGTCACCGCTATAAATAATCTTATAATAATCCTTGCATTTGATACAGCGCGTTATCATGTCTTCGAGACATCTCAAAGTGCTTCACAGAACATACTGCAAAGTGAATTGACTGTGTATTTGGTAGGCGAAACACGGCAGCCAATTGCACACAGCAGCGTCCCACACACAGTCGTGGATTGAGTGACCGATTTATTATTATTTTTAGTATTTTTTTTGAAGGGATTATTACCCCCGGAAAAGTGATCCGCCAGTCGACTAACAACCGGGTTCCTACTTACTGCCTGGGTAAACCTCTCTCCCCTGTTCAGCACTCCTTATAAATACGTACAATACATTTCTCAGAGCCAACACACCTTCTGCAATCTAAGTGTTCAAATGTCACTCTGATTGAGAATGAAACTCAGGAGTATCGCACGTCTGCTACAGTGATGACACTTCTGTGTGTCAGCTGCTAACATTTGTGATTGACAATAACCTCACTGCTCAATCAGACTAAAGCGGATGCCTCTGACAATACAGTGACACACATCTGATACATAAAACATCTCAGCGATTAACAATAATTACTGCCAAGTATAATGATTGTTTTATATACTGACGATGGCGGCAAATATTTGATTTGCAAGGCCCCACAAACAAACAGCCATAAAATGAATCACTAACTTATAGAATCATAGAATATTCAAAGAATATTACAGCACAGGAGGCCATTCGTGCCTGTGTCGGCTCTTTGGAAGAGCGACCCAATCAGTCCCACTCCCCCGCTCTTTCCCCAATATCCTTGCAAATTTATCCTCTTCAAGTCCCTATCCAATTCCCTTTTGAAAGTTGTTACTGAATCTGTTCCCACCGACCCTTTCAGGCCGTGCAATCCAGACCATAACAACTCTCTGTAAAAAAAACTTCTCCTCAACTCCCCTCTCGTTTTTTTGCCAATTATCTTAAATCTATGTCCTCTGGTTTCCGACCCACCTGTATCTGGGGGAATGTTGGCCAGGACACCAGGAAAAACTCACTTCTCTTGTTGAATAGTATCACAGGATTTTTAACATCTACTTGAACAGACAGACAGGACTTCGACTTAAATTAGATAATTATTTGGGGATGACAAGTTTGCAGGGCTATGGGGAGAGCATGGGGGAGTGGGGTTGATCAGAGCTATGGGGAGAGAGCGGGGGAGTGGGGTTGATCAGGGCAATGGGGGGAGAGTGGGGGAGTGGGGTTGATCAGGGCTACGGGGAGCGAGCGGGGGAGTGGGGTTGATCAGGGCTATGGGGAGAGAGCGGGGGAGTGGGGTTGATCAGGGCTATGGGAAGAGAGCGGGGGAGTGGGGTTGATCAGGGCTATGGGGAGAGAGCGGGGGAGTGGGGTTGATCAGGGCTATGGGGAGAGAGTGGGGGAGTGGGGTTGATTTGGAAGAGCCAGCACAGATACGATGGGCCGAATGGCCTCCTTCTGTGCTGTATAACTCTATGATTCTGTGTTCCATCTAAAGGACGGTGCCTGCAACAATGTGATATCCCACGCTGGATTGTATTGGAGCCTCAGTCTAGATTGTGAGCATAAAGTCCCTGAAGTGGGGCTTGAACCCACAAGGAGATGAGGTGTAGATGAAGATGTCACCAACAGGACAAGGCTCCCAGACGGTGATAGTAACTCACCAGCATCTCATACTGGTACTGTGCTCTGTTAGCTGGTTGGGTTCCAGCTGTAACCTCAAAGGTGCATTTACTGGTACAAATGCCTTGACTTTTACGGGGTTGGAGTTGTCTGACCAGTGGCAGCAGGTGGTGATGTGGCACAGGACCATGTGGAGTTACCTCAAACAGTGGAACCAGCCGACACCCGCTGCGCGGCCAATAAACACAGCCAAGGGAGTCTCGGAGTGTCAGGAAAAATGATTGACAACAACAACTCCTCAAATACCTGCTCTGTGCAATGACCAGCTACCTGGAGCAGATGAAGACATGTTCTTTACACAGATAAACCGAAGACAAGTTTCATTTCTGTGGACGAATGCGATATTTGCAGCTCGGGGTCATCACATCCAGCGAAGCAGTCTCTGGGGAAACTGCCTCACTTCTCCAGCACCTGCTCACACCTGCTGCGAGCTTCAGTAAACACTGCTGTGTATTGGCTCGCTGGGAATCAGGGTCAGAGAGACGTCAACTACTGAACAGGAAATTAAACCAACAGGCAAAATGAGGATCCACAGACTATCAATACAGCAACCGGCAGTGACAGTCTCCCTCCCCCAACACCTCACACAGCTATGTGGTGTATATCACTGTTACAGTGTGTGTCAGAGAGGGTTACGCTGTAGTGAAGATTGTTCTCTCTTTAATGACACTTGGAGACACTGGGAGCATCTTGTCGGAGAGAACCTAATGTAATCACTCACTCACAGCCCTGTGCGGCTCACTGGCTATTAAATCTCTCCATTGCCAGCACATCCATCACCATGGTTCTGTTCGGGCTATAAACAGCTCTCCGCGCTGCCTCTGTTAACACGGTGCCAGGTCAGGGAGGACGCAGCACAAGTCTGCATTGCTGTGCCCCTGCCGATGGGAACAGAGACGCAAGAGAATTGTGGAGTCCTGTAGCTCAGTGGTTAGAGCACTCGCCTCGCCAGCGAGAGACCTGGGTTCGATTCCCGGGCAGGGCAAAACGTTGAGCAAGTTTCCTTACTCCACACACACGCTTCTGTTTACCCAGCAGTAAATAGGAACCGGTTGTTATTGAGTGGAAGATTGCTTTTCCAGGGGTAATAATTCCTTCAAAAAAAAGAAAAATTCATCACCCAATCCAAGAGTGTTTGTGGGATGCAATTGGATGCAGCATTTCTCCCACAAAATACACAGGCACTACACTTTACAGTATATCCTATGAAGCGCTTTGAGATGTCTCAAAGATGTGATAAGGCGCTATATCAAATGCAAGGATTATTTTTATTATTAATATTATTCGCTCCACTTCGCACACGAGAAATGAGGATACTGGTGGATTACAGCCCACACAATGTGTCAGTGTGGCGAACCACCACCAAGGATTGAGTTGAGCTATATAGACTTCGGAGGTTCCCAGGTTCAATCCCGTATCTTTTCTGCTGTCAGCAGGGGAGCAGATGTGTGTGTGTGTGGGGGGTAGGGGGGTACCTGTTCATGATCACTGTCCAGACAGATTATAGTGGAAAGTGTGTACTTGGTGATGGCTTGTCGTTTGGGCTCAGTTCTGATGTTCTCCAGACACACACTCACACGCTCAGAGATTAATAAAACTGGAGATTAACACTGAGTGAGTGTAGAGGACTGGGGATTAATATTAGTGACTGTGGAGAATTGGAGATTAATACATGAATGATTGTGGAGGAGTGGGGATTAACATTATAACATGAATTCCACAGTGTTACAATCCTGAGAAAGTAGAAGCTGTAGTAGGATAAGAAAGAGAGAGAGCGAGTGAGTGAGAGGACATTACCTTATTCTCCAGACGGCTGATCAGCTCAGCCAGTCTGTTAATCTGCACCTCGAGTCCATCGTCCTGCTCTCCCAGGGAACCTGCGGGAGGAGAAACATTCCAGTTATAACTGCCAGCCCGGCAGCCAAAAGTCCTCGTATGACACAAGATACTGTGTGGATCATTACCTGAGTAAGGTTTGGGTGTGAGGTCCTGGATGGGGCTGCTGTTGACTAGGTTGCCTGAGGCTTGCTGGCTGTACCAGCCATGGCTGGGCTTGCTCTGGTAATACCTGCAGCAGAATAAAACACTTATTTCATTCCACGAGGAACTTAGATTGGAATCAGAGGCCACTTCTCTGAGCCAAACGAGTTGCCTTACTTCCCCTGAATAAATAGTCTTGTTCCCTTCACAAACCTCCCTTTCCTTTCACCCTCTAACAACAGAACGCCTTTCCCAACACCTCTTTATTACAACCAACAATAATTTGCACGTTATATTTTGCTTTTCAGATGTCAGTTGACATGCTGTGAGTTTCAGTGCTATGACCTACCGTACAATACAATTCACATTTATATACAATGCCTTTCACATTGTGGGAGCATCCAGCCCATCAACTCCACCCTGGTGTTACCGGCCCCCACTCCCTCCTCACACCTCCCTGCTCTCTCCTGTCACAACCTTTAACCACCCTCCTCTTTTTTATCTCATTCACTTATCTCTCACCCCCCCTCCCTCATCCCCCCTCTCTCTCACCTGCCCCCCCCCCCCCCCCTCAGAGCTAATGGAGAGAGTCTGCCTTTGATGGGGGGGGGGGTTAAGGGGGGAAGTTACCCTGTGTGTGTATGTGTGTGTGTGAAGGAGTGGGGGACAGGGGGCGGTAAGGGGTGTTTAATGGAGGGGCGGTGAGGGAGGCGGGATGAGGGAGGGGCAAGTGAGGGAGGGGTGTGAGGGAGGAGGGTGAGAGAGGGGGGGTGAGGGAGAGGGGCTGGGGGAGGGGGGTGAGTGGAACGGTGTGAGGGAGGGGGGGGTCAGGGAGGGGGTTAGTGGAGGACGTTACCCTGTCTGAGACACCTGATCCTCTATGGCATCCACTGCACTCTCCACTGAGGTCAGCAGCGACTGGATCTGATTGGCCGTCTCCTTCAGCAGGAAGCGGGTGACAAACTGCTCCACGTTGGTTCCATTCTCGTACACCTGGCGATGGGAGGTCAGGGGGTGAGGGGGGGGGTTAGTCACCCCGACATTCACACTGAGGCTGAATACCCAAACATCCCCAAGCTCTTCACCAACAACTGGGTGGTGACGATGGCTTTGTTGGCAAACACCTGGTGTAGCTGAAGTATTGTATCTCGGGGTGTTGGCAAGGACACCAGGAGAACCTTCCTTCCTTTCTCCAGTAAATCCCTTCACGACCTCGCACCTCCTTATCTCTCTGATCTGCTGCCACCGCTCTCCTCTGCTCACCCCTTCAGGCTCAACACATTCATACTTGGTGCGTTCACCGTTTGTTACCATCGAGTAATTATTATGCATATTATAATATATATTTATTATTATAGAGGTCCAAGTTTCCAGTTTCTTCACTTCTAATATCTGCAAATCCTTCTCTCTATTCCTGCATCTTGCCTCCTCCCTACCTTTTTAATTGTGCCTATGGCCACCACTCCACACGCCTCTGTTTACCCAGCAGTAAGCAGGAATCCAGTTGTTAGTCGATTGACGGATCACTTTTCCGGGGGTAATAATCGCTTCCAAAAATATAAACAAATAAATAATAATTGGGTCACTCAATCTACAAGTGTTTGTGGGACGCTGCTATGTGCAATTGCCGTGTTTCGCCCACAAAATTCTGTTACTCCACTTTACAGCATATCCTGTGAAGCACTTTGAGACGATGTCTCGAAGACGCGATGAGGTGCTATACCAAATTCAAGGATTATTATTATAAGCCAAAAACTTCCCAACAATGCAGCGCTCTCCCCGGCAACATGCTGGACAATCAACTTTAACCACAAGCTCAGCAATATCCTGACATGGGACTCAAACCCAAACCTTCTGAGCTGTCCCCAGAGGGGACAGTGTTTCTATCTGAGCCAGGCTGACCCCAGTATATTATTTTGAAATGTTACCAGTTTGTTTAAAGACCTTGGGCTCCACACTGTGTTATCCAGGTGCTTACAATATACACAGTTATATACAGCAGTATATGCAAGGAAACGCTGGTACAGATCAGGTATTGCACACAGGGACTCTGTGAGGTTGTTAGTTTCAGAGGGAGCTGTGTAATGCAGCTATTTTTACCCAGCTCCTTTAAGGCTATCATTAAGCAAGTTTCATTGAGGTGGTAATTAGCGGGATGGCAAATATCTGGAACAGTTACAGCTTTGCAGGTCTCTGATTTGCCAACTTGGAGTGGGTTTCTAAATCATTAGCAAATTAATCAGGGGTGCGTGGTGCTCAGGGGATTGGCTACTTCATTTGCCAAATTGCCGTTTTGCTATATTCCTGTGTTCTCGGCAGGTACACAGATGTATCCTGTGGACTGCACTGGCTTGATCAGTATCTACTGTGCTTCCTGCTAACAATCCGTATGTTCAATGCAGCACAAATAATGTCTAAATGTCTCAAAGTGCTTCACAAACAATTACTGTAAAGTGAAGTAACTCTGTATTTGTAGGAGACACAGTAGTCGAATTCAAGATCCTCATCCTCACCTACAAGGCCATTCACGGCCTCGCTCCCTCCTACCTCTCCAACCTACTATCCCCCTACCTACCTGCCCGAACCCTCCGTTCCTCTGGCTCCGGTCTGCTCCACATCCCCCGCCCCAACCGCCCTACCATCGGTGGTCGGGCCTTCAGCCTCTCAGCCCCGAGGCTCTGGAACTCTATCCCCAGTGCCTTCGCCGCCTCCTCCCTTTCCTCCTTCAAGGCCGGCCTCAAGACCTTTCTCTTTGACCGTGCCTTCAGCTCCCCTCTCGACTCTCTACCCCTTCCTCGCTCCCTCCCTTCCCTCCCCTCACCCTGACCATTTCCCCACTGCTCGGGTCCTGACCCAACTGTACAGCGCCTTGGGACGTTCTCCCGACGTGAAAGGCGCTCAATAAATGGAATCTTGTTGTTATCTTGTTGTAGTCAATTTGAGTACAGCACAGCAATGTTGTACAAACAGCCATGGAGTGAGTGACCAATTTTATTTGGGGGATTATTGGCCAGGACACCAGAAGAAACTCCCTTCTCTTTTGCTATAGTGCCATGAGAGCTTTACTGTCCACCTCAATGGGAGAGACAGGACCTGTGTTTGATGACTACCAAAAACAACACCTCTGCCAATACGTCCCCCTTTATTTTGTGTCAGCCAGGTGAAACTGGTCATTAATTTCATGGCTGTGTGAAGGGCCTGCTAGCACAATCACTACAAAAACAGTCACAAGATCACTTGCCCTACCAAGTCCTGCCAATGAACCAGGCCAACACCTTGGAGCCAATTCAGCACCAAAAAGATGCTGCTTACCTCCCCCCTCCCACTGCTCGGAAGGCAGGTCTCCTCGACATCTCTTTTCAACAATGAAGAGCCCTAGTTTATAATAATAATAATAATCCTTGCATTTGATATAGCACTTTTCACGTCGGGAGGACGTCCCAAAGCGCTTCACAGAACACACCGTAAAGTGAATTGACTGTATATTTGTGGGTGAACGCGGCAGCCAATTGCGCACAGCAATGTCCCACAAACAGTCGTGGATTGAAAATGACCAATTTATTATTATTTTGGGTTTTGGAGGGATTATTATTAGGCTCTGTGTGGAGTAAGGAAACTTGCCCAAGGTTTCGCCCTCTGCCTGGAATTGAACTCAGGTCTCTCACTTGCAAAGCGAGTGCTCTAACCACTGAGCTACAGGACTTTAAATCCTGGACTCCAGGATTATGTAATCTTTGCTCATAGCTCATTCCTCTAATACTGAGGATCATCCTCATTGATCTTCTCTGCACTGACCTTGCAGCCTGTTTTGCGGTAGTGACCAGAAGTCTATGCAATCGTCTCGGTGCAGCCTGACCAGAGCACTGACAGCCTGACAATGCCTTTTGGGGATTCAAGCTTGATTGATTTCACTATCTAACGTATCACTACACTGACTTGTTTCCTGCAAAACACAATCTGATGTCAGAAGGTTTTCTAAGACTTTATTTTGAAATGTTACCAGTCTGTTCAAAGACCTTGGGTTCCATGCTGTGGTTTCCAGGTGCTTCTAATATCCTACTTATAAGAACATAAGAATTTGCTGGTGAAAGAAGCCCATCTATTTCGCCTTCCATCATCCTCTCTTGGCAGTTGCTTGACATGTCGTGCCCCAAACTATACACTGTATTAGCCCCAGGTATTATTTTCTAACAGAAATCGATCTCATTTGTTCTTGAAACAACCAACATTTTCTGCTTCGACCGTCTGTCTCTTCAGGGAGCCTGTTCCATATGTTTACTACTCACTCACTGAACTGGTGTTTATAAGAACATAAGAGTTCGCTCGGTGAAAGAAGACCATTTGTCAGCGGGTGCGGGTACAATGCGAACTACACAGTGTATTATATTTGGCCGCTTACAGTATTCAAGTGCTGAAACCAACCGCAGACAGAAGGGAGCAAACCACAAGAGGTTAATTACACTCCCAACAACGAGGCTGTGGATTGGAGGTGGTCACTGAATGATGGCCAGGCGGTCTGTGTGCCAATTGTGAAAGGGAATGTGTGAGGATGTTTAATAATAATAAAAATAATAATCCTTGCATTTGATATAGTGCTTGTCATGTCTTCTCGACGTCTCAAAGCCCTTCACAGAATATACTGTAAAGTGAATTGACTGTATATTTGTGGGCGAACGCGGCAGCCAATTGCGCACAGCAATGTCCCACAAACAGTCGTGGATTGAAAATGACCAATTTATTATTGTTTTGTTTTGGAGTGATCATTTTTAGGCTCTGTGTGGAGTGAGGAAACTTGCCCAAGGTTTCGCCCTCTGCCTGGAATTGAACCCAGGCACTTACTCTCACTTGCCAGGCGAGTGCTCTAACCACTGAGCTACAGGACTCCAGGACTTTGGCTCAGAACACGAGTTTTATTATTATTTCCGTGATTGTGAGTTGTACGCAGCACAAGGGAACACGGAGAGGTTTACTGCAGATAAATAATGTACAATGGGAATGAACGGGAAGGGGTTTCGAGTATTGTATTGGGGCTAAAGAGGATGTGGTTCGGGTCACTATACGTGTGAATAGGAAAGGCCCGGCTCATTGTTATTTTCTCTGCGGGAGTAAATGGAACAGTTTAGTGCATTGGAACTGAGCTTGAATGAAATCCATGTTTACCTGGTGATTTGGATTGTAATTAACTCTGGGTGTTTGTTTTTCCCGGGCGCCAGCTCTGCCTGCCTGCCTGCCTTACGAGACGATTTGAGGAGCGAGAGACTAGAGCAGAGCTGTATTCAGCTCACTGCTCGCTAATTTTCCAAATCACAACAATCCGTCTTTACACCAGAGGAAACACACAGCTAATTACAGGTGGATGCTCGGGGAAGAAGCTGCACTCAATACCGGAGCGATGTGTGACTGCTCCAACCAGGATGGATATTCTGAGAGGCTGGCAATATACAATGGAAAGTCACTGGGTGATGAGAACTCAAGGGATTGAAGGGGAAAATCCATTAGAACACTCTTGATACATCTCTCCACTCACTCTTAGTTTGATTAGAAAGATATTATACTCTGCCAATTATAAACAGGATAGATAATCTGATGGTTTTCATTATATCCCAGCTGGTTGCCAGCCAGCTGTCTTGTGTATTATTTGATGGGAGATATACCGAATCTCCTCCAGCTCGTACCTCTATTCCTCCAACTCAGGTCTGCTCCTCATTCCTTGCCCCCTCTTTCTCACTATAATAATAATAATACTAATAATTCTTGCATTTGATATAGTGCTTTTCACGTCGGGAGGATGTCCCAAAGTGCTTCACAGAACATACTGTAAAGTGAATTGACTGTATATTTGTGGGCGAACGCGGCAGCCAATTGCGCACAGCAATGTCCCACAAACAGTCGTAGATTGAAAATGACCAATTTATTATTGTTTTGGGTTTTGGAGGGATTATTATTAGGCTCTGTGTGGAGTAAGGAAACTTGCCCAAGGTTTCACCCTCTGC